GTTCTGTGTCTGTATGTCCCATTCAGGTGACTGATAACACTCTGGTTCAGCTCTCAATCCACTGCCCTCGGCTGCAGGCGCTGGTGAGTGTTTGAGAGAGAGTGTGTGGGAGTATTGTTTCCATGCTTGTTATTTATGGCTTTCTGTAAAGGAATTATGAAGCATGTCCATTTGTTTTCAGAAGCTCACTCTTTATAGCTTGCTCAGTTTGGCGTGTGTGTGTGTGTGTTTTCTAGAGCCTATCTCACTGCGAGTTGATAACAGACGATGGAATCAGACACCTGAGCAGCAGTGTGTGTGGTCAGGAGCGTCTGCAGGTCGTGGAGCTGGACAACTGCCCCTTGATCACAGACATCACACTGGAGCACCTCAAGAGTTGCCAGCATCTGGAACGCATTGAGCTCTATGACTGCCAGCAGGTCACCCGCGCGGGCATCAAACGAATCCGGGTCTGTGGAAAATAATTGCTAGATATGTCACAACTCCCACACATAGTCTCAACTCTAACAACCGCATAAAGACAAAAATGATCCCCATTTATGTGCAGAATTCAAATGTGCAGTGTCTGCAGTGCCAACAGCAGTGATCAGTCATGAAAACATGATAATGTGACTTTCACATTTCATAAATGTGAAATTTCAAACATTTCAGTTTTACACTGTTCACATTACAATCTGTAACATCTATGAACAAACGTCAGGGCCTCATTTGTAAGTTGTCACTGGTTACAGTGCCCACAGTGGTTTAATAACATTCAAGTCAGTTGATTTGTCTGGTCAGGGCAGATGATGAAGTTCATTTTGGTGCTCCAGCTGTCCAGGTTTAGGTTTGCTGTCACTTTTCTTCAGTAGTTCTATGTTGTTTGGACACAATCCTCTTTGGTGCTCAATGATCCCTATGATTTACTTTCAGTTTCATCCTCTATTTTCCTTCACTGATGAAGTCTTGCCATGCTTCATGTACACAGTCATAATCATAAAGACTGTTGTTCTTAAAACCTCAAACAATTGGGCTGTTATAATATGCTGTGTATTTAAAATATTTATTTATAACATTATATGCCTAATATGAAATTTATGCAGTATATTTTATACAATGGTATAGTTTTATAATTAATAATAGTGATATTATCAACAAATCTATTATTCATATTATGTTTTACTGTAGAAGTCTTATTAATTTTATTAATTTCTACTTTTTGAAAAAAAGTAGCATTTGAGACTTTAGTCTTTGCAACTTTACAGATCTTCTTTATGCACCAAGAGCTTGTAACACTCCAAAGAGAAAGGAAAAATTGAAATCGCATCATATGACCCCTTTAATTCTTCCATTTAAAGTCTTCTGTGTTAATCTTGAGTTTTGGTCCAAACCAAACATGACAAGCTATTGGACTTTTCTTTTTTTCAGGGTGTAAAAAATGACTTAATCCAGTTGTCATGTCACATTCTGCACTCTGGCTCATTCTGCTGTTGTTTCTCCTGTAGGCTCACCTTCCTGAGATCAAAGTCCACGCTTACTTTGCCCCAGTGACACCCCCTCCTTCAGTGCACGGAGGTGGTCAGCGTCTCTGTCGATGCTGCGTCATACTCTGACAGAAGGAGGGGCTTCTGGGAGATCCCATAGAAAGTCAAGCTGTCAGACAACTTCTAAACTCCGCCCTGCCTCCGCTCCACACCACTACGAGACGCTGTGTGGGGTTGTGGCTACAGGAGGCATGGCTTGTTCAATGAGCGGTTGCCTGGCAGCAGGATGGACCTGAACAAGTTACGCAAAATAAATACAATGCAACGTGACAAATACTACGCACATACAATACCACCTACTTGGATATAAAAGAAGAAAAATCAAGGAGCTACCATGTAAAATATTTCATATTTGGATATATAGAAAACAAATTGGAGGAAGTACTTAAAGCATTATGGAACTAATGAATATAGAACGAATCCGCAAAGAACTTTGAGGCATTTTGATGCCGTTATGACGACTACACAGTGTTTACGTCCTGCTCCTCTTCCTCAACCAATAAGAATGCATTCTCTTACGACGAGAACAAATTGAAACAACAGGAAATGAGCAGCAGGATGCAAGTCTCTGGAGTTTTGTAGGATACGCCTCCCACCGATTGATCATGTTACTTTCTCGAACCTAAGAGCAGGAAGCTTTTCTGTCTGGTTTTGCGTGTGTGTGAGGATGTTTAAATATAGAAAACGAAATATAACACTACAATGAATCAGCCCGTATTAAAACTGGAGTAAAATGTTTTTTTTATTTTCTGTTAGTGCTCACCCTAATTTTGAGAGGACGAAAAAATCGCAATTGAAATCACCTGAGTGAGCGAGGGGAAGAAAAGGACTGAGATTGTGCATGCAAGATAAAGTGGATTTTGCTTCAGTGTGGAGTTACAGTATGTCATGATTGATGTGAATGTTCAAATTTAGATAATATACATGTGCTAAGGGTTGGGGGGGAGGGGGGATACATCAGGAATAAAAATTATCATAAGTTTCACAATGTTTCAGTGCAATATTGAAAGCCCAGGCATATGTAACTGTGGTATGTGACAGGATTTAGAACACTCCTTATTCAGGCAATATTCCTCAATATTTCAAAGTATTCTCATCGCAATGTCCCATTCCTGTATATTTACTGCCAATTACACATCATTAAAGGCGTAGTTCACCCAAAAATGAAAATTCTGTTATCGTTTTCTCATCCTCATGTCATTCCAAGCTTGGAACACAGAAGAACATATTTGGAAAAATATGTTTTTGTGTCCATTCGATGTTCATTCTACACAATGTCATCTTTTGTTTTTTACAAAAGAAAGTCATACTGGTTTGAAACAACACAAGGATGAGTAAATAATGACACAGTGTTCATTTTTTGGGTGAACTAGGTCAGATCTGAGTGTTATATGTAAATTATACAAAAATCAACAGTACAAATACGCCAAGGGAAAAATATCAAACCTTAACCAAGCGATCATGATTTAAAGTGATGGTTCCACAAAAATTTTTACTTCTGTTATCTTCTCACCCATCTTCAAACCTGTCTTTATGTGTGGAACAAAAAATGTTAGTTTCAGTCTATATTCACATTCATTGTATAGACCAAGATGCAATGAAAATGAATGGTGAGTTTTGGTACAAAGTGAATGATGACAAAAATTTCATATTTGGGTGAACGGTCCCTGTAAGTTCATCCCTTAAGTCTCGTGCATAAAACTGATGTGCAACATTGGTTTGATGCGTAACATTGCATATTTAAAATCATGTTGAGTCTTGCTGATGAAAACAGCTGCTGAGTTGATCATCTACTCAATGGAAATGTTTTTTGTCCGTGTGAGTGCCTTTGATTTTGCAACTGGACGGAGGGGTGGGTTACAGCCACAGAAATGCTCAGGGCTGCGATGTAGTTCATCATATTTTTTTCTCTTGTATTCTTCTCTATTTAAGTTGGTTTTTGCCATTAGATGTGATGCTGATGCTGATGATGGTGTCATCATTTCCTGTCAGTGCATACACCAGTGATTCCAGTATTCTTTATCTCGACCACTTTAGAAGGCAATGCTAAACCTGTCTGCGAAATGAAGTTTATTTAGTATTGTTCTGTAACAGTTAATCTGTTCCCCTCCTTCTCTCCCATATTTTTTGACAAAGATGAAAAGTTACCTGAATGTCCTTGTGTTCTGGTTGTTAATGTGACATTTCTTTAAATAAAAGATCTGAGCTGTGTGTCACATTCTGGATGGTTAGTTCTTATGGTTTCATATACCCTGTTTATTGTTGAAATGAATCGTGTTTATTAACATGGTTATAACAATACATGATTTAGCATCTTGAAATTTTAGACCATTTTACACCACTGATTCACTTAAACAGGACCTGAAACCTGTTGTTGTTGTTTTTTCTCTCTTCACCATATATGTGTTCTGTAGACATGTTTGCATGTTTGAAAATGTAGCTTATCAAGTAGCAATGTCAAGACACTTTTGATAAGAGTTGCAAGCTATTAACAAAAAGCTAGCTAGCTACATTGTAACTACTTAATTTTAAGATTTTATAATGAATATAAAATAGAATAAATAATAAAAATGATCATGATCTAAATTCAAACAGGAACATAATAGACTAAAATAACCATATAACTTAAAAATTTATTTCAAATTATTGGGTAAGAGAGTTTTGCATTATAGCAGAGTACTAGAAAGCCCTTGAGACAAAAACGTATAGTTGAATATGGATATGGATTTTGGTAACCTAATAATATTGCAAAGTAATACTGTGTATATGTATGTAAAATAGACTCTAAAAATGTAGTATGCTCTGTAGTTTAGTATGTAGTATGTAGTATAGTATGTAGTATAGAATATCTAGTACATTCTATTAATGTGGTATGTATCACCAATTCATTAATTCATTCATTCATTCATTCATTCATTTATTTATTTATTTTAATTACGTTTGACATACACATTTAATGCCACTAGGGGGAGACGGAAGAGCATATTTAAAAAAATGTGTGTTGTATGGATACAAGCGTGTGCGTTATTCAAAGTAAGTATAATCTTCTTGGTGCTTTTAAATGCACAAAATGGTTCTTTGAAAGTCTATGTGCGTAAAGTATTACAATAAGAAGAGGTATGTTATAATTAAGAAGTAATAATAATTTAGTTATATATTCAAATATGCAACAACTTAGTTACCAAATGTGATTCAGTCAACAATACCACAAGAAAAAGTGTCAACATAGGCCTACTGGAATAACCAGAATCATCATCAAAAATAAATTCTCATTGAAGCCGGTTGGATACATTAATAATAATAATAATAATAATAACAACAGCAACAACAATAAAACATGTATAGTCTCTCTCTTGATATTATATAATAAACATGTATGTTGTCTCTATTCTGATACTGTCGCACTGCACAGCCTCTGATAAATAATGAATTGTGTACCAAATGAGCATATTTTCATTCAGGCATCATGCAGGACATCTGTGCGGCGTTGAAGGACCTCAAGGCCTCGGCCCAACTCTTCCTTGGGATCGTTTGCTATTCAACACTCCACTATTGCGGTTACTGGCGGTCTAGTGGCCGTGATCAAGTCGTGAGCTCAGGAGGCAGCTGTCAAACAGCGGATTATATTTGGATTAAGTGTAAACAGGAGAGCCGTGAAAGCAGCGCGCTTCCCGGCGGCTCATCCACTCATCACCCGAGCGGCGTGAAGCGGGCTTTTCTGAAATGGACGCCTGGAGGGAGGAGAGCCCCGGCGGCAGGCCCCAGGATACTCGACCATAAGAGTTCAAGCTAGCCGAGTTAGCCGATACATTTCCACTGTTTTTATACGCGCCTCGCAGCGGATCTCTTTTACTTTGCTTTGCGTCCGTGGTCGCCCACACTTTGTTGTTCAGTGGAAACACACTTTTTGTTCGGGGGATCAACCATTTGGTTCCTGGGAAACTTTGTCAAAGTTGTTTATTTTCCGTTACTGCATCGTTAATGCACTAAACAACAGACTTCAGCCACCCTCAGAGAGTGTCTTTAAAGCCAGTATTTGACTTCCTCTTTGTACACATTTCAGTTTCTCGTGCCGTTTACGCGACTCTGACAGTCACTCTGTCGTTGTTATTGTTTCGCCGCGACCTGAGGACTACCCACAAAGCGTCCCGATGGAGGAAAATGACAACATGGACTATTTTTACCAGCAGGTTTTGCAGAAGGACGTGACCCGACGGCTGCAGGTCGGCCCGGATCTCATAAACTACCTGAGCGACCCGCAGAGGTCCTGGGATGTGGAGCAGGACAAACCCCGCCTGGATAAAACCATAGATGAGCTGACGGGATGGGTCAATTCCAGCAATTACAAGGTACATAGCGTGTGACCTGCTTTGGGGGTGTATATTTAAATTAAGTGTGTTATAAGCCGTTTGGCACGTAGGTTATGAAGGATGCCTGCATTGTTCTGGAGTGACAGTCTTGAGCCAAACCTAATAGTTTATTCTCATAAAATTTATTATTGCATGTAAATCACTAAATGCATCAGGTTTATGTGATTGTACATTAATTTCTGTGCCTTTCTGTCAAACTGACAGAAAAATGCTCAAGTAATTGTATTTACGATAAGCTTCTGTGTGTAGAAGTGTTTAGGTAAAAAGTGTTCAAATAGTACATTAATATCAATGTGCATACATTACATATTCATTTGTGTCTAGGAGAGAGTGGATTTTCTGGTGGGGGTGTTGTGAGGATGGGGGAGGGTCGCGTGGGGTATTGTTCTGTTACACTGGGGCTGTAAAGGCACACGTCACTGCAGTTTATTTGAGTAATCCATTTACATTTGCTTTTGTGTGTGTGTGTGTGTGTTATGTCGATTAAGAAAAGCATGTTTAAATGGCCTGTGGATGCAAGCCGAAGCTTTTATGCTGGCTCATGCTGCTGCTGATGTTCAAGGCTGAGGCAAAAATGGACACTTCTGCAAACAGTGACATTGAAACGGGAAGTGTGGAATGAAATATGATTGAGTATTGATGTTTTAAAAGCAGCTTTAGACATTCATCTGTGTTTTGTCTTCAGCTGGTAGTTCTGGTCTTCAGGGGCTGATGTTAATAGACGGCTATGACATCAGACTCATTGAGGTTGGATTTTAGAAATGATGAGGGTGATTCATAAATTGGAGACACAGCTGCAGAATTCTACAAATGTATGTGGTTTGATAAATGCAGGGTGTCAAATTCTTTGGCCCTTTTGTTGAAGATCTGGTAGACCGTTTTCATCTCTCCACTAAAATATTTTTGTAAATAAATTAGTTTATTTTTATTTTTTTTTTACTATTCAATATACTCTGTCGTTTAAAGTCTTGGGGTCAGTGAGATTTTTTTTTTTTTTAAGAAATTAATAAATTTTTCAGCAAGTACACATTAAATTGATCAAAAGTGACAGCAAAGACATTTATTATGTTACAAAATATTTATTTTTCAAATAAATGCTATTTTGAACTTTTAAAAAAAAAATCATAGTATCCTGAATTTTTTTTAGCAGCATAACTGAGAAATTGATAATAAAAAGAAATGTTTCTTGAGCAGCAAATCCGCATATTAGAAGGATTTCTAAAGGATCATGTGACACTGAAGACTGGAGTAATGATGCCGAAACTTCAGCTTTGTCATTACAGGTATAAATTATAAATTTTAAAATATATTAAAATAGAAAACTATTATTTTAAAACAGAGTAATATTTCATAATATTACTGTTTTCACTGTATTTTTAATCATGTAATTGCTGCCTTGGTGAGTGTAAGAGACTTATTTAAAAAACATTTCAAAAAATTGTACCGACCCCAAACTAATGTGTAGTAATGTGCATATATATTTATAATTAAATAATATTTTTTTGTAATTTAATTATTTTACAATTAATGTATAATTATAATAAAATATTATGAAAATCTTATATTTAAATAAATATATTTATTAATTTCAATGTTATATTTGTTGTGTATATTTAAATACAACACTTCGTAAATTTTCTTAATTGATTATTAAGAGAGGCAGGTTAATAATACATAACATTTTAAAATATATTAAAATAAAAAATTGTGTTTATTGTAATTTTTGATATTTTTGATCATATAAATGCTGCCGTGGTGAGTGTAAGTCACATCTTTCAAAAAAAAAAAATTTAAATCTTACCCACCCCAAACATTTACATTTACAAAATAATTGCAAAAAATACATTTATGATGATGTTTAATTCTGAAATCTAATGTATCTGTAATAGAGGTACCATTTTTGGTAAGAACAGGTCGAGAAGCGATGCTTCATATAGAGTTAAATGCTGACAAAGTTCAATGATCTAAGAATGGACTTGATTTACACACAGTGTTTTCTCCATAAGTCACACAAGAGAAGAAACCAGAAATGCTTGCTGATTGTATTAACTTGAAAAAATTAGGTTAATCCCTAAAGTGTGGCTGACCTCATTGCTAAGTGTGTAGTTGAACGCTGTCCAATTAAAACACATTTAAGCAGTTTCCAAAATGAAATGCCCAGGTGTTTTCCAGTTTTGCCTTTCAGGTGCACCCTCTCTGTTGTCCTTACTCAGGACTCTCTCTGGCTGCTTTGCCTAAAATAGGTCATAACTGGAGCTTCTTGGATGTAGTAAATATTTGATTGTTTCTCTGGAATGTGAACTTCCATCCTACACTGCCAAAAAACACACTGCAGCGATCCCACCACAATCCTCAAATAAAGTCCGTCTCACAATCTCTTATTTTCATTCACCCACCCACACACAATAACAATAGTCCTTCTTAAAGACATAGCGCACATCAACACAAAGCTCTGTAACAGATACTGTATCAGATACTGAATAAGCAGAATCAGAGTGCTGTCGTACAGTTTGCCTGCGTGAGAGGAGGAGTGAGGTTTGATGTTTTCAGCTGATTTGTCTCTTTCTTGTTTGGTGTCAGGTTGCATTGCTGGGGATCGATATCGTCAGCGCATTTGTGGATCGGATGACTGATCGCTTCAGAGGTTATATCATCACAGGTAAGCGATGTGTGCACGTTTGTTGTTTGTTCCACTGAAGTCACAGCTTCAATAAGGCAGCATTAGCTAAAGATCTTCTCCATTGCATAATCAGCAGAAAGGGGAATGCCAGGATGACTTGCTGTGTACATGACACAATCCACAGGCTCAGTGCTTGTCTCTCAGCTGTTTGAGCCCCGCCTCCTGTTACCACGGGAATGGGTTGTTATGATAATAACAGATGGCCCCCCTCACTCATCATATACCTCATTCATCTGAAAACATGGAACAAATGGAGTATAGAGAAAGGAATGAGATGACTTCACACAAAGAGATCGTTTGAGTGTGCCTGGTGTACAACAATGTAGAAAGTTAGATGAAATGAAACGATATGTCTGGGCCTCTAGCAGCGCTAAATGGATTTGTCTGTCATTGGTTGGCCAAACAGATAGACCTGCCCCCAACTCACACCATTGGTTGAGCCAGTGTACTGCTTTGGGTTGCTCAAAAACATATATTTGGGGGAAGCAACTTTGATTTACAAATGGTTGTATTTGCATATTGCATTCAGGCATATGAAAAGTATGTTTTATTAAATGTACACATTATTATAGGGCTGCACTTTTAATCGAAATAAAACTGAAATTGCGATATGGCTTAGTGTGATCATCAAATCACAGAGGCTGCGCCAAGTAAATATATGTGCTTTAGAGTGAAGCCAGTACTGTGTTCATTGACATGCGCGCAGCTCATGATTCAGTGTTTTCAGCATCTCAGAGCGACTTGGTTGACAGTAAATGCTGTCCATACGATCTCATCTCTGATCTTAGTTTGGGTCGCTTATAACATATATTAAAACGCAACATGCGCTAACCATCTTCCTAAACTTGCACAGAGAAGTGCTTGTGATCTTCCTGTGCTTTTTTTGGCCAAAAATAAAAGCTTAATGGTTTAACATTTGAAAATGAAGAAATTAAGACAACCATAAATATTATAGTTGTAATTTTACAGTTGTACTGTAAAATAAAATAATAATAATAATTCTTATTTTCTTATATACAATTTTTAACAGTAAAATATTACATTCATAATATATTAGTTTACAATGTAAATATTACAATAGGAATATTTCATATTACTTATTCCTTTATAGTGATAAAGATTATTCTTTATTATTATTATTATTATTAGCAGTAGTAGTAGTAGTACAATTTTTCTGTGCCACTGTAAATGAGAAATGGTTCTCAACTGACTTACCTGGTTAAATAAAGGTTAATAATAATATTATAGTCATTGATATAATTACAAAATATGGGGCCCTACAAACAAGTACAGCAAACCTGGAGCTTTTGTTTTTAAAGAAATTGTGCAGCCCTGCATTTTTAGATCGCCTTTTAAACCTCTTTTTTTGCTTTTTTTTTCCCACTCAGTGGTGCCTGCATTAGTTGACCGTTTGGGTGATGCGAAGGATCAGGTTCGAGAACAGGCACAAGCACTCATTTTGAAGCTGATGGAGCAGACGGCAACACCCATGGTGAGCTAACTGTACAGCGAATGGGCAGTTCAGTTTGAAATGATCATCACACCCATTCATACTGACAAAAAAATCATAATGCTGCTGTCTAGATTTTTTTGTGTATGTGAGCTGCTGGGTGAATAGAACCACATTTGATCCTTTTTGCTAGTTACTACTGCCAGTGATTCTTGATTTCCTTCATAGCTCATTGTCTCTTTCTCTCTCTGCTTTTGCAGTAATGGATATGTAATGAACCAGTTACACTGTTTCTTTTCCTCTGTCTCTGTGTAGTATGTTTGGGAGAGGCTGTTTTCTGGCTTCAAACACAAAAACTTCCGCAGTAGAGAGGGACTCTGCTTGTGCTTGGTTGCCACTCTAAATGCGTAAGTCCTTCATACAATCCCATCCATTCTCACTTTGTAAACAAACCCACATTTTGTACTGGAAGTCTTGTCCAACAGGGGGCGCTGGTCTTCCATATCACAGTATTTTGATGCAATCACATCCCGGGTTTATCACCAACAGGAGTGATTTCTGTTAGTTCATCATCTCAGACGTTGCAACCTGTTTTGACATCTAAATTCACTGATATTTCGATATAATCTTCAGACATTCACACATACAGGTTCCCTGTCTGTCACACATTGTAAACAAACTCGGCCCACTGAGGTAATCCTCTTACCTGCCTGTATCGATACCAGGAAGGTCAGATTAACAGACATTCTCATTGAAGCACTACTTAAACACTCGTATACAAACAAAACTAGTTTCTCAGTAACATTACTCCTCACTGTTGACACAAAAGAGCTTTCACATAATCCAAAAAGCATTAGACTACATTGTTATTATAATAATAAGATGTTATGTACAATATAGTTTGCTTTAATTACAAAGCAGATTTGAAATTGCAGTTGTTTTGGTTTTGTATTCCATTATGGGGTAGTTCAGCCTGAAATGAAAAATTCTGTCATCTGTCAACAGGTTCATGTTGTTCCGAACCTGTTGGACTTATTTTGAAAAATGTCTGTTTTTTTTTTGTCCAAATACTGAAAGTCAGTGGAGTCCAGTGCTCATTGTCACCAGCTGAAATGTTCCTCAAAATACACATTTTTAAATGCAAAATAAGCTTGTGTATCCAACTGTGTATATATACATGCATGGTAATTTGAACTTGCTGTGAACTGTGTTTATTTGTTTCTCTCTCTCTCTCTCTCTCTCTCTCTCTTAGATACGGTGCTCAGCCCTTAAGTTTGAGTAAATTTGTTCCACATCTCTGTTCGCTAACAGGAGACCAAAACCCCCAGGTATGAATCTGTGTCTGTGTATGTATGTAATGCTTGGAATGTGTGTGAAAAAGTCAAGCGAGTTGGATGCACTCTCTGTTTCTGTCCTTTATGTGTGTGAGGGAGGGAGGCAGTCCGCACTAATGTTAGGTTTCTAGACATGTACAGCTGAGTTCAAGCTCCCGCTGGGCGAATGGGCCACTCACAGAGAACAGCATTAGATTCAGAGGTTGAGATGAGAGAAATGAGGCAGTGATCTTTTAGAGATTTGAAAAGTAAAATCTAGAAAAATTGAATGAAAAATCATTCCCAATTGTCCACTCTTTTTGAAAGAAATTAATATATCAAGTAAGGACACATTAAGTTGATCAAAAGTGACAGTAAAGACATCTCTAATGTTACAAAAGATTTCCATTGCAAATAAATGCTGTTAGTTTGAACTTTAAACAATGAGAATATGGAATATGAAATAATGGCTAATGAAAAATTCAGCTTTGCCATCATAGGAATAAATTGTTAAAATATACGCTGTAAAAATTATTTTTTGAAGTTGTAAATTAAACAAAGAATATTGGAATGTTTCATAAGAAAATACTATTTCAGTCTTTCTACTTAAAAAATTCATGTTTAATTTAATGTTACTCATCATTTCTTTGAAACAATTTTCACTTAAAAGTTGCTAGTAAATTTCATAAATAATTCCAAAGTAGATCCTACACCAAATTTGTTGTCAGTGTATTAAAATGGAAAACGGTTATTTAAATTGTAATAAAATTTCCCAATATTACTGTTTTTACTGTGTTTTGGATCAAATAAACCAGCCTTGGTGTTCATAAGAGACTTCTTTCAAAAACATTACAAAATATGCCAACCCCAAACATTTGAACAGTAGTGTATGTAAAAATTAGCATTCACATAGACAGCTATTTAATCGGTTGCTGTCACTCATGTCACCTGCTCATTGTAAATGAGTGAATTTTCAGTGTGACTGGGACTGTAATAGGATGGATCTGTAGTTGTGTTTCTTGGTTAAGAGTATGTTTTGTGTTCCACAGGTACGGGAGGCAGCTATGACAAGCCTAGTGGAGGTGTATCGGCATGTGGGAGAGAAAGTGAGAATAGACCTCAACAAAAGAGATCTACCGTCTGCGCGGTTAGTGTGATTTACTGTTAAATGCGCAAGCTTTCTACAAATCTTAGTTTTATCAATTTAATGACACTGTGCTAAGCCAACAAGCATCATTCCATCTCAAATGCACTCACATGTTATATCCACACCACAGTTGTGTTGACAGTTTCAGGATTGGTATAATTACTCCATGAGTCAGTTTTAATGACTTCGAGCTACGAGATTGCTTGTGCGCATCTTGGGTGTATTGTGGGTGATTTATTATGAAGAACTGTATAAATAGCAGCACATTCACATAAATTGGACACACCTATATTTAAAGTCGTTTGCGTGTGGTAATTGTGTATATGTTAGGAGTGCTGCTCATTTGTGGCTCTTACAAAATACCAGCGATTTCAGGTATGACTAAAGGAGCCGTTCAACCAAAATGAAAATTTGCTAAAAAATGTACTCACCCTAAAGCCATCCAACATGTAGATAGGTTTTTTTTTTTATCAGAACAGATATCAGAAGCAATATTTAGCATTACATCACATGCTCAGCAGTGGATCGTCTGCAGTGAATGAGTGCCGCCAGAAACATCACCATAATAATCCACATGACTTCAGTACATTAATTAACGTCTTGTGAAGTGAAAAGCTGCACGTTTGTAAGAAACAAATGCATCATTAAGACTTTTTAACTTTAAACCATCGATTCTGGCCAAAATACTAGTCCTAATTAATGATAACACTACCTCTGGTAAAAAAGTCCATCCCCTGTTGTGTTTACCCTTCAAAATAGATGTTTGTAGATAATGGTTTAGATCGGGGTTGTTTTGTTTTTGACTGTTTTTGGACACTTGTGAATGGTGCTTTATCTGCTTAGATTACTTTCCTGTATCAGGAGATATGACTTTTTCACTGAAGAAAGCAATATTATGGATAGAGGACTTGTATTTTAGCCGGAAGCAACTATTTGAAGTTAGGCCTTAATAGTGGATTTGTTTATTACAAACACACAGCTTTTTGCTTCACAAGATGTTAATTGAGGTACTGGAGTCATTTAGTTTACTTGTGGATTATTGTGATGTTTTTATCAGCTGTTTAAACTCTCATTCTGGCACCCATTCACTGCAGAGGATCCATTGGTGAGCAAGTAATGTAATGCTGAATTTCTCAAAATCTTTTCTGATGAAGAAACAAACTCATCAACATCTTGGATGGCTTGAGCGTTTTCAGCAAATTTTCATTTTTGGTGCAAACTATTTCTTTAAATATGACAGCATAACATATGTAGTGTATAGCCTATTTATTTTTTGTGTGTATTTTATCAAATTTGAAATATTTTGGAACAATTGCAAAACAAAATTGATTTCACTCGAATCCACAAATCAAAAACAAAACAACGTTATTTACACTTTTTAATTATTGTGACATGGATCTAAGCTATATCAAAAATAATTTTGAGCGTCAAATCTTTTAATCTTTAATTTGCACAAACTGTTACTATCATGTACTAAATTCACTTTGCAAGTGAAATTTGAATTGATACTGGACTGCATTTTAATATATATACATCTTCACTAGACTACATTAATAGATTATATTAATAGATATAATATAATAGATAGAATAGATAGAACCGGCAGCCATATCAACCTGTAGCCCAAGACTGGTTACCCACTGAAGCTAAGCAGGGCTGAGCCTGGTCAGTACCTGGATGGGAGACCTCCTGGGAAAACTAGGTTGCTGCTGGAAGAGGTGTTAGTGAGGCCAGCAGGGGGTGCTCACCCTGTGGTCTGTTTGGGTCCTAGCACCCCAGTGTAGTGATAGGGACTCTATACTGTCAACAAGCTCCGTCCTTCGGATGAGACGTTAAACCGAGGTCCTGACTCTCTGTGGTCATTAAAAATCCCAGGATGTCTTTCGAAAAGAGTAGAGGTGTGACCTCGGCATCCTGGCCAAATTTGCCCATTGGCCTCTGACCATCATGGCCTCCTAATCATCCCCATATCTGCTGATTGGCTTCATCACTCTGTCTCCTCTCCACCAGTAAGCTGGTGTGTGGTGGGCGTTCTGGCGCAACATGGCTGCCGTCGCATCATCCAGGTGGATGCTGCACACTGGTGGTGGATGAGGAGATACCCCCCTGACAATGTAAAGCGCTTTGAGTGCCTAGAAAAGCGCTATATAAATGTAATGAATTATTATTATTATTATAGTGTGGACATTTTTGTGTTTGCAAAGAAGTTTGCATGTTTTTATTCACAAAAGCTTTTTGTAAATCAGAACCTATGGCATGTCAACATTTTCTGTTACACCAAATACACAAAATAATGATCTTTAAAAAAGCATCATATGACCCCTTTAATTATCTTTCCACACAGAAGCCCTTGGATGGATTACTTGACAATTTTCTCTTGAGATCAGCCTTTTGATTGAATAAAAATCCAAAGAGCACTGAATTATATTATTACACAACTCTATTTATTAGTCTGTCATTGCAGTTCTATTGAAAATTTCTGGACATTCAAAGGAGGTTATTTGAAATCTTTGTGATACGTGTACTGTATACATTCCAAGAAATTAACTCATGGGTTTACTGTTATAGAATGATGACAGTCTATTTACATTGTGTTTAAAAGGATTCCTTGTAATCTGATAAAATCTTGCAGGCTGACATCAGTGTGTGCTGTTGATAAATTTAGTTTTTGAAGACTGTCTAATACTCCTGCATTCCTCTCTGTCTGATGTAAGATCCTTAAGGCGCTTGGACAGACTCCATTGGCTGCATCTTGAACATTTCACAATCAGTTTTCTAATGCCAGTGGATGATGCTGAATCAAGTTTTTTTTTCCTGTACATAATGGATTCATTTCTGGAGGAATCTATGCTGTTGTGTGTTTTTTCCTCTTATGGTTTCATGGTCTTAGATTTTGGCACTGTTGCACTATATTAATTTTCCCAGGAATCAGATTTAAAGTTCAGAATGATTCATGTTTTGTGTAGTCCAGATGTTTCAATACAAACTGAACTATATTGGGCCTGGTCCGGAATGACCCACATGTTCCACCTGGTTTCCATAGCTGTGGCATGATGTGTCAAGTTGTCTGGTGTGTGACACGGTTATGACTCTGACTCTGCAGGCTTCTGGAGGAGATGTAGAAGCATAAGAGAGAGTGGAGGTAGGAGGGTGCAAAGCCTGTGGCAGTTCTGTAGGCAAGCACCAATGTCCTGAACTTGATGCGAGCCGCAACTGGAAGCCAGTGCAGAGAGATAAGAAGCGGTGTGACATGGGCTCTCTTGGGCTCATTGAAAACAAGACTTGCTGCTGCATTCTGACTCATTTGCAGAGGTCTGATTGCATATGTTGGAAGTCCATCCAGAAGAGCATTGCGATAGTCCAACCTAGAAATTACAAGGGCCTGGATGAGAAGCTGTGTTGCATGCTCTGTTAGGAAGGGTCTGATTTTCCTGATGTTGTGTAATGCAAACCTGCATGATCGTGCTGTTTTTGCAATGTGATCTTTAAAGGTCAGCTGATCATCACGGATCACCTCAAGATTCCTGGCCGAACTCGATGGGATTATCGTTGATGAGCCCAGTTGGGTGGTAAACTGGTGCTGTACTGATGGGGTGACTGGGAAGATGAGACATTCTGTCTTTGCCAGGTTGAGCTGCAGGTGATGCTCTTTCATCCATGGCGAGATGTCCATCAGGCAGTCTGAGATCCGAGCAGGTACCGTTGAATCATCTGGTTCAAATGAGAGGTAGAGCTGCATGTCATCAGCATAGCAATGCCTAAGAGACTAAGAGCTGACTGAGTAGCAAAGATTGGAATAAAGTCAGCTTTGTTGACAGCTGACTGACAATTCCAGAGGCCCATAGAAGAAGTGTGGATAGGACACAGGTTAGCCTGATTGCGCCATGTCCTGTGTGTTGTGTAAGAGTGTTACCTTTGAGAGACAAGAGGAATATAATGAAAACACATGTTGAAAGTGTTGGAGACAGGAAAGGAAAGTAAGTAGAATAAAAGAAAAATGCTACTTTGCGTTGTCGGTGTCGCGCAAATTAACAGGTAGCAAAAAGTCTTTTTAGATTCTAATTACAGCTAACGGCAAACAACATGCACAATCAGCATAAAGTTTTAAATAAAATAAGCAGTAAGCTAATTAATCCTCCCTACTAGCAGATATGTATTCTAAAGGCGGTTGCACACCGGACGAGAAGTGAAGTGTCGCGTCGCGCCACGTCTTTAAAATTTGAACACATTATTTTCTATGAGCGTACACACACCGGCGGCGCCGTTCAGCATCTGTCCGTGGTGCCCAGCTACTTCGTGTTGTACTTGTTGTACGAATTGTTCTAGACGTAGTGCGACGTGGCGCTGTGCTTCTCTTTCGGTGTGCAACCGTCTTAAACGACAGAAACCGAAAACTGGTAAAACTTTTACGCTGAAATTCTGAAATTAGTGTATTTTTATAAAAAATTTGTTAATATTTATTAAAAAATAGTTTATATATGCACAAATATATTTTATATCTATTTAGCAATATATTTAAAAAAATGTAAATGTAAATTTTAAATAAAATCATTGCAGTTACAACTTTAAAAAGTCATTTTAAATCTAAAAATGATCCTTAAGTTCTTCTGTAGAGCTGCTTTATAGGTGAATCGAATTTGTTTATAATTTATATATTTTGCAACATTGACACTATTGCTGAATTAATTTGAATCAGCAATTGAACTGACTGAATAATGACACTGTTGTCTTCAGTAGAGCTGCTTTACAGCAGAATTTGCCTCATATTTAAGAACTATATAAAGAAAGGTGACTTGAATATTTGGGCTATGTGATATATTAGTATCTTTATCTTTAATTAAAAAAAAATCATTATTTAGTTAAATTAGTATAGAATTTTAAACTCGTTATTTAGCGTTTATCGACAAGGAAAAAGATTTTTTACTGCTCATAATATCAGCCAGAATTTTATTATCAGTGGATCCCTTTTAAATATCCAATTTTGAACAATATTTATGCAATATTGATTTAAAAAAAATCTAATACCATCCAATAACAAATACTGTATAACAAATATACAGGATTTAGTAGAGCGTATTTGAGTTCACTCTTTCTTTCTGCATGTATAATTTTGTGAGGGTTCGATGTTGTTTATCTCTTACACTTTGCCTTTGGAATCCTGTTGCATCACATCACATTGATATGATATGATATGATGTGATGTGATGCCCCACACTCGAGGGTGGGCACACAAGCCGAAAATCACTCTAAGCTACTGTACATACAAATTCAGTGTCTGCGCTGCCCTCATCTGACCAAGAGATAATGGCTACAAGAAAGGACATGCATATTGTTGACATGGATACAGTTTGAAAGGACAGGACCGCGAGCTTGGGGTCGTGTCAGTCAAAACAGGAAGGAAAGAGACCGAAAGGGCAATCTGAACCGACTGAACCAAGGCAAGAAGCGGGGGGCAGCAGTGAGGAGAGGGGGAATGTGATCAGTGCTTAAGGCCCAATCCCAATTCTACCCCTTAGCCCTTCCCCTTTCCCCTACCCCTCCGTTTCGCGCGTTCACGTGAAGGGGTAGGGGTGTCTCAATTCTCTTTTGGTTGAAGGGGTAGGGGTAGGGGAAGGGCCAGACAGCCCTTCAAACGAAGATTTTTCGGGACCACACTTCAAACAAAGGGGTATGAATTATCTCAGCGTAAACCGGCTTCAGGGGCAACATGGCTGCCCGAGCAAACAAAAAGACACATAAATGTAAGCATTTTTGGCATTAATAAAGATTTTAACGAAAAGTAATCATTTGTTTTATGTTACATTCAATCGTGAGTTCATATTTATGGTCATGTTACTCAAAGAAATGTTTGCAAAAAATCGCTAATATTTGCTAACAAACGTCATATCATTATTCTTAGGGGAATATTTTCACCCCTACCCCTTGACACTCTGTTTCAAGGGACAAGGGGAAGGGGTAGGCGAAAGGGAAGGGTTATAAAATAGAATTGGGATTGGGCCTTAGTGTGTGTGTTTGTGTGTGCCCGTGTCTGGAAGGGGGAGGGGTGGGAGCCCTGTCTCTGAGCTCCACAGCTTTAGCCCCTCCCACTGGTGTGTGTTCCAGACAGGAGGTTATGTAAAGGGGAATAGAATCCTTGCGCTGTCTATCTCTCACACACACACATACACACAGTGGGCAGTTTCTTAGTTTTCCGTGGCGCACACGCAGACACACGGCAGTCGAGTCTTTTCAGCGCTCCTCGGCCACATATGAAGGGCAGTATGTCTGAGCAGGTGGGTGGGACCTCGCATGCCGTCCCTCTGTACCCTTTTCTCTTTCTTCCTCTCGTCGCTTGTTCTCTCTTTCTTCTCGTTCTTGGCTGTTTATTCACTTTCTCTCTGTCTCGTTGCTTTTTAGCCTCTTGTGTCATCCGCAGCTGCACCATTTTGAATAGAAAGAGCAGATATCCTAAATCGGGTGCGTTAATAGGGATTGATGATCTGTGTGTGTGTGTGTGTATAAACACGCCTGATTCGTCTGCACTGCAAACACTGCGTTAAGCACACACATGCAACATTTCACATGTGGCCTTGAATGTGCATTTACATGCATATTGCATGTGAGAATGTGAGCGTGTGCACATTATTGTATGTGTATATTATATATTAGTTCATGGTTGTCTGTGTGATGGTCTGCTGGTCTAGCACACTTACCAAATATCATTCAGTCTCATGCAGGGTTTAAGCATCATTCTTGACATTTTGTAGCTGCACTTTAGTATTCGATCTGCTATACATTGGGCCAGTGAGGGACAGTAATTGGGCTGCGGTGTCTTGTTAATTGTTCGTTGCGTTGAAAATAGTCTTGGCAGGCACTTCAAGGATAGTAATTAAGCTATGACTTTTAAGTGCACACTGTAGATGTGCAGCATTTTAAATTTGGTATTTTTTTGTAATGCACTCATTTGTTAAAGTGGTTATCACTGTGCTAGTGGTTCATCCGTGTGGTATTAGGTTAGCCTTTGCATCTTAATTGCCTTTAATACATATCTTTATGGCTTAAACATTTTTCAAGCTTGAAGGAAAAAAGTAAATTAAAGGCTGTTAAAGCTACTTAGCGTAACATTTTCTGTGAGTGATGTTAGTTGGGCTCCGCATGAATGTGTAGAACGGCAAACTTGTCTGTATCTGTTTTAAACAGAAGCCGCATTATTGTGATGGACAGATTAAAGGGGTCATATGATGCGATTTCAAGTTTTCCTTTCTCTTTGGAGTGTTACAAGCTGATTGTGCATAGATAAGATCCCTGAAGTTGCAAAGACTAAGCGGGGTATAGAGGACCTATAATAATGTACAATATTTGAAAAATAATGTGTTTTTTGAACATTAAAGCATGTCAACATATTCTGTTACACCAAATACACAAAATAATGATCTTTAAAAAAGCATCATATGACCCCTTTAAAGCCTTTGGTGCAGTTGCCACAGTTTTATTCTTTTTGAAGTGTGCAAGATGTGTTACTTCAGAAAGCCTTTTAGTTGTTCAGTGCAAGAGAAAGAAATACATTTATTGAATTGCCATTGCACTATATCATCCTATTAGGGTGGGCTATATTACAAAAAAGAAAAGAAATCTCAGTATTTTTAAAACTTTTTATTGATATTCAGTTATGTATACTACCGTTCAAACGTTTGTGGTTAGAAAGACTTTTTCAAATGATTTTTGAGTCTCTTATGCTCATTCAGGCTGCATCATGTTTGGTCAAAAATACAGTAAAAAGAAAAAAAAGAAATATTATAATTTAAAATATTTTTCTGTTTTAGTATATTTGAAAATATAATTTATTCTGCAGAAATCTTTCTAATATGCTGATTTGGTGCTCAAAAAACATTTCTTATGAGTGTTGAAAATAGTTGTGCTGCTTAATATTTTTGTGGAAGTAGTATTCTTTGATGAATAGAAAGTTCAAAAGATCAGCATTTATTTTGGAAAATAAATCTTTTGTAACATTAATCTCTTTACTGTCACATTTAATAAATGTAATGCATCCTTGCTGAAAAAAGTATTAATTTCTTTTTTTTTAAATCCTGGTGACCCCAAAGTTTTGAACTATAGTGAATCAGAGAAACCATAATTTCAACCAAGTATTTTTTTTTATCCATGCTTGGTGATAAAAGTAATATTTACCTAAAAAAAAAATTCTCACTAAAACATTTTAATTCATGAGTGATGCCATGATTGTATCTTTAAATCAGAATTTTAAATTTATTATTTGAAGCTGACAATTGGAACTGATTCACAAAATTCACTGAACTAAAACATTTTTCTTAATGCCTGCATACTTGTAAGACAAGAAAGGGTTGTGATGCAAAATAAAAAGCGTGTTAAAATCATAATATTCACTGTTGCTTAATTGTATATCGCCAGCAAAATCATTGTGTATATTTGATATTGCCCAACTTTACACTTCATAATGCCTTAGTTTGTGATTGTTTTGAAGATGGCAAAATTATGTCCAAAATATTCACATTAAAATTATGTGCTGTTTATTGAGTGTGTATAGTTTTAATATTAATCTCAAACCGTTACTGTTCTGTGTGTTTCAGGTTACAGAACATTTTGAGCCGTTTTGATGAAGTACTGAATTCGGGGAACATGGCTCTCAGCCTGAGTCAAGGTAAGTTAGCTTTAACTTGTTTGTTAACTAGCTAAATCCTTTTTGCAACACTTGTTTCCACTGGCTTCAGTTACAATGCTAATATTAGTTTTGTCAGTGTCTTTGACCACAGTACTGTACCTTTGACATCTGAGCCCCAGCTTTAACCGGAATGCTACTTTCCTCTAAATGCATCTAAATACATAATCATCATGTTTTTCATTAGCATTACTAGAGGGTGAACATCAACAAAGTCATTGTGTACATCTAAATGCTGGGTTTCTGTGTGCCCTTCAGTCTCCAGTGAGTCCGATTTAACGTGAGTGCTGGGATCTAAATAGGGGAGATGGTGTCAGACTTCCAGAGCCTTGGAAATCTCCATGATGTGTTTGGCATATGTCACATGTTGGAAGAGCTGGATCTCCAGGCGGATCACACTGTGCTCTTTTCATGCGGCTCACATTTGGTTGTGGTGTAGAGTTGTTGTGGCATAGTAATGTGTTTTACAGTGACTTTACAAGCTATACCGTGGTTGCAGCTGTTGACTTTATGGGGGTAAACATGTGTTTATGGGTTCAGTAATATCTTTGACTTGAGTGGAGGGATATGTAGGATTTCAGATTAGTGAATGATCAACATGAGGTTTTTAGAGAACAGTTCTTGCTAGAAATGCACAATATTTGTACCATATTGAATATTAGAGGTTTATATATATATTTAATTGTGCATGCTCATTTCCCCTATTTTTACATGTAGGTTATGTTTACTGTTGAAAACTTGTATTAATTTTAAAGGGGTCATATGATGCAATTTCAAATTTTCCTTTCTCTTTGGAGTGTTACAAGCTGTTTGAGTATAGATAAGATCCCTAAAGTTGCAAAGACTAAAGTCTCAAACCCAAAGAGATGTTCTTTATAAAAGTTAAGACTTGTCCACGCCCTCCTAAAATGGCTCGTTCTAACACGCCCCCACATGTCTACGTCATGATGTGGGAGGATTTGCATAACGCCGCCCAAATGTTCACGCAAAGAAAGAAGGGCGAACCATCCTACTCGCTGTAGTATTGTTGTTGCCGCCGCCGCCATGTCGTGGAGACGCTGTGTGTTTCGTTGTGAAAGCGAAACTACTTTGTTTGGCCTTCCAAAAGAGGACGATATCCACTTCGTCATGCCTAAGCTGATCCGTGCTGGTCGCTGAAGAAATACATCCACTTCGCGCTGTGGATCGCCGGATCGGCTTTCACCATGGACGAAGCAGAGTCCAGCCCGGGGTCGTCACATGTGGTTGCCGCAACCCCGCCCGCTGCGCCGTTCTCAAGCCCGCCCTCACTCAAGCCGGCCTCCGCTCACTCTAGCCCGCCATGTGTGACGCTGTGTTTC